AGAGCTTTAAGCTGTCCCCCTGGGTAAAGTGCAGTGGCATCACAGCTCACGGCAACCTCTAACTCCTAGGCTCAAGCAAGTCTCCTCCTCTGCCTCCCAAGTAGCTTGGACCACAGGCACCCGCCACATCGCCGAGCTAGTTTTTGGTTGCAGCCATGATTGTTGTTTGGCAGGCCCGGGCTGGATTTGAACCCACCACCTCAGGTGTATGTGGTTGGCGCCTTAGCCACTTGAGCCACAGGTGCCGAGCTTCCACTCTGTCTTTATTTATTTATTTATTTTTAGAGACAGAGTCTCATTTTGTCCAGGTCTTGGATTTAGGTAATTCTCTTGCCTCAGCCTCCCAAGTAGCTAGGACTATAGGCACCAGCCACAACACCCAGCTATTTTTTGTTGTTGTTGTTGTTGCAGTTTGACTGGGGCCGGGTTCGAACCCGCCACCCTCAGTATATTGTGCTGGCACCCTACTTACTGAGCCACGGGCACTGCCTGGCATTAGTGCTTTCTATCTGTTTTTGTGTTTGGCATTGTCCAGGCTCTCAGAGGAATCAAAAAGATCTCTGCCCTCTAGATATTTTCACCAAAGTCCTTTAGTGACGTTCATAGTCAGTGTGCTTTGGGGGACTTTAGGAATCCTTAGAACACAACTAGCACATTCTGGGCCTTTTCTGACCAAGATGCCAAATTTTTTTCCATCTGGTTCTGAGTCTTCATTAGGGATATAACATTCAACTTGTTGTCTAGTGTACAGTTCTTATGGGAGGAACAAACCATAATCGTTCATTGAGTGTCCAGCGTGGAACGAATGGAGCATAGGTTTTTTTTTTTTTTTTAATTGTAGTTTTTGGCCGGGGCTGGGCCTGAACCCACCACCTCCCGTATATGGGGCTGGGGTCCTACTCCTTGAGCCATAGGCGCTGCCTGGAGCATAGTTATTAAGGAGGCTCTTTGTTACTCATTTTTCCAGATGGGACTCTAAGCCATTATATCAAAAATACTACCTTGAATTAAGTAGTCTTTATCAAAGATGAGCTAGGTGAGCTGTCTAGCCTAGTTTTTCCTAACTGGGGAGATGGGGCTCTGTGTCTGAAGCTCCCTGGGTTGCTTATTTAAAATGTAGGTTGGGGGCTTGGCACCTGTAGCTCAGTGGTTACGGTGCCAGCCACATGCACCGAGGCTGGCAAGTTCAAACCCAGCCCAGGCCAGCTAAACAACAATGACAACCACAACAAAAAAAATAGCTAGGCCTTGTAGTGGGCGCCTGTAGTCCCAGCTACTTGGGAAGCTGAGGCAAGAGAAAAAGCCCAAGGGTTTGAGGTTGCTGTGAGCTATGACACCATATCACTCTACCAACTCTACCAAGGGTGACATAATGAGACTCTGTCTCA